AAATACATGACGTCCTGTAGCGTATTGGTTAGAACACTTGCCTCGCAAGCGGGGTTCGATGCCTGGACAGGGCGAAATCTTAGGCACTTACTCCACATGTCTTTGTTAACCTAGCAGTAAAGTAGGAACCCAGTTGTTAAATCGACTGGCGGATGGCCTTCTGAGTGTGATAATCTCTTTTTAAAAGAAAGTAATAATTTGGTCACTCAATCCACGACTGTTTGTGGGACACTGCTGTGCGCAATTGACTGCAGCATTTCACCCACAAAATATACTTTACAGTATATATATGGTATATTCTGTGAAGTGCTTTGTGATGTCTCAACAACGAGTTAAGGCACTATATCAAAATGCAAGGATTATTATTATCATAAAATAATAGGAATCAGATATGAAGCCTGTTGTCAACACTTAGCAGCAAGTAACAGTGACCCTTGCCTGCCTGCCAGTTATATTGTCTGAATCACTGCCTCAAGTCAGATCAGTAAATTCCACACAGATCAAGGATTTGAAACCCAGGACCTTCTGCTGTGATGACTTTACCCACTAGGCGATCAGGAGAAGCAATCAATTCAGACTTTAAATTTAAAGTTCAGCCGGTGAAAGGGAAATACAAAAAAATTCCATGCTTTCAATCATCTCACTTTCTCCCCCCTCCACCCCCACTTGTGCTCTCAGTCAATTGTATGAAGCACTTTGAGATGTCTTCCTGACGTGAAAGGTGCTGTATAACTAAATTGTCGTTGTGAGAATATGGAACAGACGGCTTGTTAAAACATGAATGCATAATCCATTGAAGTATTCGAGAGAGAGAAAATAGATTAAGGATATTAAACAAACCAGAATTAAAGCACTTTCATGGGCGTAACAGGCTTGATAAGTCATCTTGTTTCTAGTTTCACATCCAGCGTTGTATTTTAAATCCCTTGTAGGTTAATAGCAGATATAGCATTTAATATTATGGGCTAATGTTTAATGTTACATGGCGACACCTAATAGGTTCCAAGGCCCTGAGTGTTAGTGAGTTCCTGTAAGGAACACTATTGGGGGAGGGAAAAGGAAATCAGCCACAGTTCCCATTCATGTGGCTAACTTTGCTTTTGCTTTTTAAAAAAACATGAGGGGACACACAACTTCCAATGGGAGTCTATATCATTTGATCATTTAATTTAGTGTGACACAGAGATGTAAAATTCCTAGTTATTCATTTCATGGTAATTCTCGAAATTGGTATAGCGCCATGTATCAAATGATCTCAAGTACTGTAAAGTGTAGTCTCTGGATTTGCACATGCACACAGTAATGATTCACTAACAACCAGGAGGTCAATGACTGTAGGATTGTTGGCTAGGACCTCAGGAAAATCTTTCCTTTCTGAATATTCCTTTGGGAACTTTAACATCCACCTGAACAGGCACAGATGTCTTCATTTAACGTCTCATCTGAAAGAGTAACTCTGACAAAGCAACACACCCCCAGTGTAAACTGCTGTCAGCCTAAACTGTCAGTGCATTCCTGACGTGAGGCTGGAACCAACAACAATAACAAGAAATTACATTTATACAGCATTGCGCCCTTCATGCAGGCCTCGCAGTGCTGCACAGTGGCAGGGTTGGACACCAAGCAGGGGAGAAGGGGGAGGTGACCATAGTCAAAGAGGTAGTTTTAAAGGGGGATGTAAATAAGAATAATAATGATCCTTGCATTTGATACAGAGCCTTATCATGTCAAGGAGACATCTCAAAGCACTTCACAGAATATATTGTAAAGTGGATTGACTGTATATATTGTAAAATGGTTTAACTGTGTATTTTGTGGCAGCCAATTGTGCACAGCAATGTCCCACAAACAGTTGTGGATTGAATGACCATTTTTTTTAAGGGTTTATTACCCCCAGAAAGTAATCCGCCAATTGGCTAACAGGATTCCTACTTACTGCTAGGTAAATAGAGGTGTGTGGAGTAAGGAAACTTGCCTAAGGTTTTGCTCTGGGAAACCTAGATAAAGGGGGAGCAAGCAAAAGATTAAGGTAGAGACTTCAGGGATGTAGAGGTTTCTGACCCAGTGAGATTGTGAACGGCTGAGATCAGGCTGATGCCTAACTGAGCCTCCAGAGAATCGGGTAAGCAGATAAAATCGGAGAGAAGACTAAACAAATTAAAAAGCTGCAGCTAATGGAAATGGTGCTGTGTAAACATTAGGCTTTGATGAAGCAGGACATTTACACAGAAGCAAATAATCTTAAAATGCAAAGATTGCTGTCCTGAGGCAAAATGCACCAGTTGATAGGGGAGTAGGGCCTTCAGACTGGATTCACTGTGTGAAAGTAGATAGGCTAGATTCTTGGTATTGGGATTCTCTGTCCTGAAGTATTTGAGCTTGTGTAAGGAATGCTGGTGGAAAGGGGCTCTGGTGGCTTGGAATCCGTGTGGAGGCTTGGAGTGAATGGGTTTTGTCCGACATCAAAAGGCTTGTGTAATTTCTTCCTTCCCCCAAAAATAACTACCCCCCCCCACACACACACACACACTACTCACACACAACCAGTCTATCTCTGTTGGGTTTCAGCACTCAGGCCTGTATCATCTCTAACCTCCTGACCCCATAATCTGACAATGCTGAGTGACAGGAATGCATCTGTCAAATGGTCTGAAGGTTACCAACTGATTTCCCAACTGAGTCAGAGTGCAGTTTAGACCTGTGTGGGAGCTGATTAGAAATACAATACCTTTGGACATGGCTATTTGGGAAAGCTGTGGGATGGCAGTATTTACTTTCAGTGTCTGAATGAGACTCATAACTCATATTTCAGGAATATGAACTAATTTTTGGAGCTGGTATGAACAGTCAGACTGCCTCCTTTCACACGTTGGTTCCTTCCAATTTCCCCATCCTTTTTTCTCCTCCTCCATCCATCTAATTCCATTGAGTATTTCGATACATATGTTGGAGAGAGTTGAAGAAAAATCAGAAATAACACGGGATTCCTGAGCAGACCCTCAGACAATGGGAGTTGTTGTTGGAAGGATGCATGATCTGGAATCTGTAGTTCTCAAAAACCTGAGAATAGCTACATTTCTTGGGATAGCCACATTAATAATACTACATGTATAAAATTTATGATCATATCTGGTTTGTTACAGATTACTGTTCTATATGTACGGATAATATAATTTTTACAAGGGACAGTCTCTAAAGTGATCGGTTTGATTGAAAGCATTTACATTGGTTGCCAGGCAAGTGAGGTTTCCCTTTCATTCAGGACATGAGGGGGCTGGAAGATAAAGAAAGGAAGTTCTGTCATCCTTTCCCAAACTTGATGACAAATATTTGTCTGTACTTCTTACCAGAGGCTGGATAACACTGGGCTGTGAAGGAATCTCGACTGATTGATTCATCTGCTTCATTCATTCTCCCACTCAGTCTTGCTGGCTTCCTTTGCTCCTCATTCTAACCATCTGCCTTGGCATTCGCTCTGCCTGCGTCCTGAGCACTCGTTCCACTTCTACAATGGAAAAAGGGCACAGATTATCTGCCATCACCAAGCCCCCACTTCTAGATGAACTTCATTAGTCAGAAAATGTTTTCTTTCTACCCCTCCCATGACATAAAGGGAAATGCATTCCTCAGATGCCCAATTGGCTGCTGTGTTTTGCCCACAAAATACACAATCAATCCATTTTACACTATACTCTGTGAAGCACTTTGAGACATCTCAACGACGTGCTAAGGTGCTATATTTAATGCAAGTATTATTATTACTGATACATGAACCTGTATAAATGTCCTGACCTGTGTAGTCGTTGATAATAAAAAGCACTGTAATTGACCTCAGTGCCCCTGGGCTAGGGACAAACAGAGAAAGTACAAACAAGTCAGACAAGGTTCCTGCTATTCAGATTGCTATTCAGAGACCATGTGTGCATGTGGACACAATGCAATAAGAGATTTGGTTAAAATGCCCTCACATAACAGGGAAAGGCAATAGAAAGTTTCATGGAACTACAAACACATAATCCAGGAAAGGCTATCCGAGACAACGTGCTTGGCAATGGAATATAAAAATTGAGTTAACCTTCTGTGGCAATCTCGATAGTCTGCTTCCTGAGCCAGGAGTGGTGCTCCAGGGTACTGTCAACCATTGGCTCATTGGTAGGACTTGGAGGAGCAGACTGATCACTGGGAGCAGGGATTCTTCCCCCTCAAATCTTTCACGTTAGGAGGATGTTCCAAAGCACTTCAAAGTTAAAAGTCACCATGGCAGTTCGGCAGAGCAACACAGCGGTAGAGCACTTGAATGTTTCGAGCTAACTTTTAAGATGATAACAGTGGCAGAGCATTGTGCAACATTCTTTCAAGCCAGGCAGGCTGCGTGTAATGACAGGCAAGAGGAATTACAGGAGCAATCCTATCCTCCCACAAATATTTTCCATATGCTTGGCCTCAGGAACAGGCAACAAGAGTCAGAGCCAAGACAACAACTGGTGCCAATCGGCTGAACTTTTCATTGAGGGTCAGGGCTGTTGACGCTGGGGTGTGAAGGAAAATGGGCGATGTTTGTGTGCAAGCTTTTTAAACCACTTTCTCAAGAACAGCGACAGGATTGGGGTCTTCATGTGCTTAATAGTGGAAGGAGTGAAGTAATTCCGTGGGACAGTATACACATGGCACACAGTCCCACATTTAATGATTACAAAGATTACATTTAATGATTACAAAATTACAAAGAGGTTGGTACTGGAATCTCAACTGTAGCTACCTTTCGGCAGATACTAGTCTAGCAATGGCTCTGAACACTTCTGATTGAGTGTGTGTATATATATATATATATATATATAACAATCCTTGCATTTGATATAGCTCCTTATCACATCTTCAAGACGCCCCAAAGCGCTTCACAGAATATATAGTAAAGTGAATTCACTATATATTTTGCATATAAAACACATACACACACTAAAAAATCAACACTTTCTAATTTATCAATAATGTTTTCACAGATTGGAACAGCTACTCTCTGCACCTGTACCTACAAACCCCAACGAAACGCTGACCTTGCTCAACACTTGTCTTTGTCTCAGAGTGCAGTCATTTGATATTGTGGGTGAAGAGATCGTTCAGTGATTCATGCAGATCATATACTTGATGCATATTATTTTTAGACTGGGAATACTTAAGTTCTATGCCAATTAAAGGTAAAGATATTTTTGACGGGAACCCTGAATAGGGGCCATTCAGTCAGTGACAGATCCCTTTAACAATGAATATTCAGCCCCCGGGGAAGAACTCAGTAAAACGAAAAGGCAAACAGATATCAGCCTTTGGTGAGAGAGTTTCTCTTCAGCAGGAGCCCTTTCCCCAGACAAAGAATGGACTGCTTTATGCCACTGGCAGCAATGTGCAGATCTCAGATGGTGGTTTGAATCCACATTCGGCAGAATCTAAACCTCTGAACGGATCAGACAGTGTGTTGATGGATTCAGAAAAAAATGACATAAATAGACTTTCACAGAAAAGTGCAAATCAAACCGTGCCAATGAAATGGACACAACCAGTTTCAAATCGTCATTCGTCCGAAAAGAGCAATGTTAACTGGCAGCTATCCAATCAGGGCAGCTCATGGACTCCGAGCACAAGTTTTGGTGCGAAGAAGGTAGCTATGAGCAGTGTTGATTCAAGTGCCCCAGGACCTTTCGTGCAGACTTATGCCAAGCAAAGACCATTAAGCCAGCTGCCGCATGAATCTTTTCAAAGGCACCCAGATGCAGCTGTCAATGTGTCGCAACTGGGTTTATTTGGAGATGCAATAAAGCAGATAACTGAGAAGGCTCAGCTAGCACAGAAGCAGGCTGTGACCAAGCAGCAAGTTGACTCGCTCAGTCTGGCACAGCAAATACAATACCAGCAGCACCCACACCATCACCAACAGCAAATCTTACAACAGCAACGCCAACACCAACAAACTCAACACCAACCAATCCAGCATCATCATCAACAAACCCATGTCCAACTCCAACAACAACAAACCCTTGTCCATCATCAGCAACAAACCCATCCCCAGCACCATGAACAAACTCAACCCCAACACCAAAACCACCAACAAACTCAAATCCAATCCCAACATCAACACTTTCAACAACAAACCCAACCCCAACAACAAACTCAACACCAACACCTTCAGCTAACTCAATCCCAACACCATCAACAAATTCAATCCCAGCACCAACAACAAATTCAACTCCCAAACCACCAACAAACTCAAATCCAACCCCAACATCAACACCATCAACAACAGACCCAACCCCAACAACAAACTCAACACCATGAACAGCAAACGCAACACCATCACCAGCAAATCCATCCACAGCAAAATCAGCACCAAAATCAACATCAACTGCAGCTCCAACATCAAGAGCAACAACATAATGAAGCTTTGCCTCACCACCCATTCTATCAGTTTCCGTACGATCAACAGAGGCAAGACTTGCCCCCGAATACGGTTATGAAGTTGTTCCGTCAAAGTCAGCAGCCTCTTTATAGCCATCCAACACAAAATATGTCTCAACAGCAGATATTTCAAAAATTCTTCCCTCACCAGCAACCTCCTCAGTCTCTTGGTCTTCAGCGGCTTCAAGCCAGCCGGATGCCCGATCCTTCCCAACCTCAGGTGCAGTCAATAGCAAATCAGTTCCAGCAATTCGCTGACACTCAGGTCAGCCAAGGGCTACAGAAGGTGCTGGTTTGCCACAAACAGGAACCTCCTCCGATTCAGGCGCCCTTAAAATTTCAGGCACAATTACCAAATCGAGTGGGGCAGGCCTGTAAGAAGAATGTGAAGACATCGAATAATACAGAGAACATTGGTAACCCTTCACTGCAGCATTGGCCTCAGGCATTTGGACCAGAGCTTCAGAAACTACTCAACGTGCCACTTGAGCATCATAGTACGCTCAGTCTTCGTCACAAACCAGAGGTGGATTTACTTCAGACGAAGAACAAGCAGTGGCAAGGACAAGCAAATCAAGTTAAGCACTTGAGTCAGAGAGAAAATAACACGACTCAACCTGCACAAAATGGTAGAAAGCAGCAGGGGACAACTACCCAGAAAGACATCACAGGAGAGGAGGTGCAAGCGAACTGTATTATCCAGAGCACCCCAAAAACTCAAATAATTTCTAATGATTTAAAGGTACTTCAAGCAGGTCAAAGAGAATCACCAGATAATTGGAACCGTTCGGTTAAGGTGAGTAAAAACCATCAGGTGAATGCACTGCATAGAAATCCAATTCATAGATTCTTAACTGAGCTGGCTCCAAGGTCACATGACTTGGTGTGGGAATCAAGTTGCCCCTCTGTGATGATCTCTGTATGGGGCAGGTCAGTCTGCAGTACTCCAGAGCATTGCAAACAGAACTTAGAGGGGGCACTGGGGGAGGGATTTTTCCCCACTCAGCTCCCATCAACCCTACAATCCAAAGCCCTAACTATTAGAGTAGTCCTAAAGGGACAGCAGCAGGAAGCTTGCCAGTTTTACTTCATGGTCAGCGTTGTGGTTTCAGCTGGTTGGACTCAACAACAACTTATATAGTGGCCCTCACTCAGGATAACACTCTAACAGTGCTTGACAGTGGCAGAGCACAATGACAAGCCGGGGAGAGGTGACTATAGGCACGGTTGAAGAGGAAGTTCTTCAGGTATGACCTGAAGATGGGGAAGAAGGGTGCAAGGCAACTCCTCCAGTACCCAAAATGCGCACTCTTGACTCTCCAATCTTTGGCTCTTGCCAACCTGCCCCAGAATTAGGGAAGCAGGAGCATCTCTTCAGGGGGAGAATGCACTTTCCATTCCAGTCACAGGGAAGTTTCCATGTGTAGGTGACACATTCATATGGAAGCCTGGTTTGGTTACTCTTAAGCATGATACTGGGTTAACACTCATGTCAGACATCTGAGTGACCAAAAAAAATAGTTTTCTGGATGGCTTTTGCCAAACCTAAACTCAATTTTTACTGTTTTCGTTCTGACTCAGGGCAAACCCGCTCAAGAGAAGAGGAAAGTGAGGGCTGCTGGGAACTCAAAGGTCATCCCACAGGTTGCTGACTCTACACCATCCACAGAGTCACAAAATGAAGGTAGCCTGATGCCACTTATAATACCAGTATCCGTGCCTGTCAAAAAGGAAAACTTAAGTACTACGAACAACAGAAAAGGTGAATCCAAGGACTCATCAGACAAAATGGAAACATCAGAACAAGGTCCGTCATCAGCAACTCGCAAACGGAGGTCTAGTAGGGGAGCAGTGCCAGAGCCTTCAGCCCAGGTAGGATCTCACCTGCACAAAATTAGCCCAATGGCCCTGGCAAGTTCCAATTGTCAGTATCTGTTAGTACAAGTCTCAAATCTGCATCTCGTGAGATTATAATATAAAAGTAGTAATTCTTGCATTTGATAAGAGCGCCTTATCGCATTGTCGAGATATGTCAAAGCGCTTCACAGAATATACTGATTGAGACAACTATCCTACTATCAAAGTAACGAGTAATTTAGAGCTGTGGAGTAGATGCCTGACTAAGACAGTAGCTGCTAAACCTCATATCAGTGAGGAGATTTAATGGGGAAAAAGTAGATAAAAAACGAAGTTNAAAAAAGATACATTGCTGCTTTGGGCATTCCTAGTGCAGATTATTTGGTGTGTTTCCTGATATAACAATCACTAGACTTCAAAGTGCCTCATTGTGCAGCTCTTTGTTGATGAAGCACAATGACAAAGTGTGGTTATTATTATTACATCCGAAACATTTAGCACCCACGAACCTCAATTGCTCAAAAGTACTACCTAAGTCCAATGTATGGCTTTTTAAAAAAAAGTCTCGCTGAAGTGACTTGTCTGTCCATCAAAACATGTCTCTGTTTACCCAGCAGTAAGTAAGAATCCAGTTGTTAGTTGATTGGCAGATCGCTTTCCTAGTGTAATAATCCCTTTTTTAAAAAAATGTGGTCACTCAATCTACAACTGTTTGTGGGGCACTACTGTGCGCAATTGGCTGCTGTGCGCAATTGGCTGCTGCATCTTGCCCACAAAGTACAGTCAATTCATTTTAAAGTAAGTTCTGTGAAGTGCTTTGAGACGTCTCGAACATGTGAATAGGCACTATATCAAATGCAATGATGCTTATTATTATTATCACTTTGCAGAACAATGATGGTCCCAGGAGGGACGAGAATCTGTCGGCAAAGTTAAAACGAAGGCCACGGCCGGAGCCACTCTTCATTCCGCCCAAACCTCTCAACCACGTCTCTGTCATTACCTACCCGCCAGGAGCTATCTACCAGAGCAACCTGAGGTCGCCGGTCCGATTACTCGACCACCACCCCATGGACAGGAACTTCCAGCCTCCACCCTACACCCCTCCCCCCATCCTCAGCCCCATGCGGGAGGGCTCGGGGCTCTACTTCAATGCTTTCCTCTCGTCCAGCCGGTAACACCAAAGTCTACGACTAAAACCTACCTGTACCGATCAAGTGAGTTCAATTAATTTGAACCTCAGGTTTGATAGCTACGTGCATTTTACATAGCCCTACTATGCTGGAATGTTATGTACCTTCCATTTAGAGAGGATAATACTCTTTTGTTAAATATGATTTCCCTTCCCTGGCTCTAACTAAAATGACATGCCACATCTCAGTTGGTAAGTAAATCCCATCTGCCATATGGAGCTGAGCAAGACGGACCCAGAGCATCCCAATGTTGAACTCCCAGTATGTGCCGTTTACTCTTCAGTGTACAAGTGCACAAGGAGGCTGGCAGGACAAAATCAGTCTCGGCTGTAATATTTGCATATTTATTTTCCTGCTCTACCTTCTCTCCTAGAAATGGTGACTTTTATTCTGCTGGGCTATAATGATTCTGTGGCTGCTGTGTACTTTGACAAAGTGGCTGTTAGTAATTGTTACTGAGTGTTCGTTAGCAGGTTATTCAACTGTAGGAGCCGGATCTTGTTAATTCCGTCATCACAGATATCAAGGGATATGGAGCAAAAGTGGGTAAATGGAGTTGAGGTACAGATCAGCCATGATCTAATAGAATGGCGGAACAAGTTTGAGGGGCTGAATGGCCTACTCATGTTCCTATGTTTCCTATGCCAATCATTGTCACACATGAAGCGTGGCCTTTGGTACAAGATACTGGATGGTGCTGTACTGTACCTTGCATGACCAAGCACCTTCAAAAGGAGAAGCACCTCGTCCTCATATATCATATCATGTGAAGACTTCTTGTAAACATGTATGTAGCATTAGCACACTGTATAAACTGAAGGCTTCAAATCTTAAATCTTCCCCTTTGCTACACAACCCAGTCCTTTAATATTGGCTGACACATCTGTAATGTGCTGCTTCTATTCTAGAGAGTGCTGAGACTCCTCCTGTTCTCTCCAACGTAAATGATGCAACACCGGCCTGCATTGAACCGTAAGTAACTTGTGTCATGGAACTTGTTTTGACAGAGTCTATCTCCAATATAACTGAAACAGAGATCTTTTGGTCTGTCTCTAAGGTCTGATTTACCCACTAAGTCATCAGTGTTCCTATGGCCCATTCGGCCCAACTAGTCCATGTTGGTGTTTATACTTCACATAAACCCTTATATTAGGAGTCCTGTAACTCAATGGTTAGAGCACTCATCTTGCAAACGAGAGACCTGGGTTCTACTCCCAGCAGGGTAAAAACTTGGGCAAGTTTCCTTACTCCACATGCTCGATAATAATCCTTCAAGAAAAAAATCAACAATAATAATTTGGTCACTCAATCCACGACTGTTTGTGGGACACTGCACAACATATATAATCCATTCACTTTACAGTATATTCTGTGAAGCGCTTTGAGACATCTAGAAGACATGAAAAGCGTCATGTCAAATGCAAGGATTATTATTAGTATATTTCCATGTCCCTCATGCGTGCATTAAGTTTCCTGTTTGCATCAACCATAGGTTCCGGCATTGAGTTCCAGATTCTCACCACCCTCTGCAATAAAAAACAGTTCCTCCCAAATTCCCTCTTAGATCTGTGACTGGCTGTGTTCTGTTTATGTAATTATACATATTTATTGATAAGAAATATATCATTATTGAATTTCTAAAACATCAAGTGCCGTTCTTCACCGCATTTGATGCTTCTGAAATTTGCTAAAGACACTTATTAATTCAATTAAATGCTGATTGATAGGAAGAAATATCATCCGGGTCTAGATTTATTTATATGCTGCATTTAGAGCATCCAGAATTTGGCTCATTGCTAAATGCAGCCTTAATTTTAATGCTAGATTTCTTTAAGTTGTCTTAAGAAAAAAAATTGGTTACTCAATCTACGACTGTTTGTGGGACACTGCTGCAAAATACACAGTCAATCCAGTTCACGGTATATTCTGTGAAGTGCTTTGAGACTTCTCAATGACATGATAAAGCACTATAACAAATGCAAGCATTAATATTATTATTAAGAATATAGACTGAGGTTGAATTTCTCCCCATCTGCACCTAATTACACGACAATCTTTTTATATCCTGTCTCTCAGGCAGATTAACATTGGTCCCCGATTCCAGGCTGAAATACCAAGGCTGCAGGACAGGTCCTTGGCAGCACTGGATGACAACCACGCTGACCTTGTGTGGAAGCCATGGGAGGAGCTCGGAATCAAACACCTTACTCAGCAGACAGGTCAGAGTGTGAAGCTTAATTAATTTCAACTCACCACAATCACTTCAAAATCCTCTTCCAACGCAGTGAACTACCAACCACTTGTGAGGATAGGCACCTTCTAGCTAAGGTCTACCATGGCTTCTTCCTCTCTCCTAGTAGATTGTGGTTATGGACATCAGTCTGCATCAATTGATAGCACCTGGCCATCCCCATTTCACCCTTGGTGGTAGAACGCAAGCCAAAGTGAAGGAGAGCAGACTTGAGAGTCACTTCCAGGTTGCTCCTGCACATCTCATACAGCCACACTACCTAAATAACAGGTTGCATATCTATAGCGCCTTTCATGCAGGATAGTGTCTCTGAGCGCTACACAATGGCGGGGTTGGACACCGAGCAAGGGAGAACAGGGAGGTGACTATAAACCTCAGTTAGATCAGGAGAGTAAATAATGGGCAAAACCGGATCGCTCTATTTAGGGAGCCTCTTCCTGTGCTGTAAATATTCTGATTCTAGATTACTATTACGTATATAAAATTAACTTAAAAAGTTGACTTACATTAACAATAATCAGAGAGAAGTGGTGTCAAGAGCTTTGAGACGTCCTCCGAAAGTGAAAGGCGCTATATATAAATTGTACTGAATTGTATCACATACCTATGACACATGACCACATCCGCCTATTTTATCCTTGCAGTAGACGATCTGTTGAACCTGTCTTGCTCCAGTGTATTGTCAGGAGGAGGTACAAACCAGGAGCTAGCCTTGCACTGTCTGCATGAATCCAAGGGCAATGTTGTGGTAAGGCAGCTTGGTATCCTTTCTCAGTCCGGGCATATGTATTATTTGCTGTTCTTTCATGAATGTGCCCTGACATATCCTTGGTGTGCTCCTCTCAGGCAGCCCTGAACATGCTGCTACTAAGAAGGACCCCACGAGCCAGAAGCCAGGTGATGTCAAGTTATCACTACGCTGGTGAGCATAGCCTCTTTACCCTGCGCACTGGATGGTTTTTTCTGCTTGTAAAGTGCTCAAACAAAGCGATTTAATTTGCAATACTTGACAGATTTCTTGCCAACCTGTACCTAATATTCTCCGGCATGAGGTAAGCAGAATGCATCCCTCCAGAAAAGTGGGATCATTTGATTTGAATAAATATCTTAGGAATTTCCATGTATTGGTGGGATCCATGGAACTCAGTTTCGTTTGGAAACTTTTAAGCATGGTAATGGGTTTCCGCATGTATCAAGACACCTGACTGATCAAACAAAATCACATAGGGTAGTGGGAATGTCGTACCCTAGTGAAAGTAGGTACAGATACAATTGAGGTGTTTTAAGAGGGAGATAGACAAGCTCCGGGATATTAAAGGATATTAAAGGATATGGAGAAGACAAGGAAATGAGATAAAGAGTGGATCTGTACTGCCAAACCAAGCTCCATTGTTTTGGGCATGTTGGAAATAGAGGTTGTACTCCTTTGATATCATGTGGCTGATGCACTAGATTCAGCCATAAAGAATTTCTTTTACTATCAGGGAACAAATACAGTTTAAGTAAAACATTTCTGTATGTACATGCAGTACTGAATGACATCTGTTTTCCTGAATTGTCCCCAGGTTCAGACAAGTGGACGGTCACAGAGAAGAGGTTATTCAACAGGGGCCTTGCGACGCACAAGAAAGATTTCTTCCTGGTTCAGAAGCTGGTGAGAACTGTGTTGACGAACTTCCATCAATGGGAGAGTGGGAGGGGAAGGGATAAAGCGGTGGGAGGGGGGAATGATAAAGCAGGGGGTGGAGATGAAGCAAGGGGTAAAGTGGAAAAAGTGAGGGGGCCCACTGGCTTAGTGATAAGACAAATAACTGGCGATAAGCTTGATAATTCTCCTCGCAGGTTAAAACGAAGACGGTGGCGCAATGTGTGGAGTTTTACTATACGTACAAAAAGCAGGTGAAAATCAGCAGGAATGGCATGCTGGTGTTTGGGGACAGCGAGGTGTGCAGCAGGAGGAACGTGGAGGAGCAGGTTGAAGTGGACAGGAAGGTAATGTCCCCTTTCCGACTTCTTAAATTCAATTTTTTAAAAAAATCCAGAAATTATTTCCTGTTTTTTTCTTATGTATTTTAAAGTGTTTAGCCTCCACTCACTCCTCCTTCCTCTCCCCGCCACACCTGGTGCCCAAGAGGAAAGTTTCCGTGCTCCAGAGTCTCCCTTTTGTTTCTCTGTAGGATTCTCTCCATCGTAAATGTCGAATTCCACTCCCCCTTGACATTGAGTGGGAATCAGAGGAAGAGGATGAGTCAGCCGATGGGAAGCCAATCCTGATCCCTCTGAAGGTCACACAGGCAGGACGGGCATCTGAAGTGGTAAGTTCAACCGGGGTCAGGAGTATATGAATGATTATACCCACAAGGTTTATTGATTTAAAATGAAAGTGTCAGGCAGCCGCTTGGCTTAATTGAGAGCATTATATCTTTGGGCCAGAAAGTTCAAGACCCACATTCTGGACTTTGAGCTCACAGTTGACTCCACTGCATTCCGGCATTGTTGGAGGTGCAGTCCTTTGAGTGAGATGATAATCTAGGGTGCTATTTGCCTGTTCAGGTGCACGTTAAAAGATTTGAAGACCACTACTCGAAAAGAGAAGGGAAATTTCCCTTTGTTTCCCAGCCAACAATCCTCCAGGTCGTTCAATTCGTGGCTGTTTGCAAATTGGGATATTGCTGTGTGCAAATTGGCTGCCACATTCGCCTGCCTTTGCAAACAATTACATATAAAACAATAAGATGTTTCGACAATACAGGTGCTATAACAGCAAGGATTATTTACAATAAAACTAAAACTAGCATTAAATTGTAAAAATCGCCTAAATCATACATGCACCCAAGTCCCATTCAGTTTCTTATCAAAACTACTTAGCTTACTTTGCACTAGTCATATTCATCTCCTAACACTGCTCCCTTATCCTCCATTACTCCTGTACTTACCAACTGCATTGAATCATAGGAAATAATGTCCTGACCCTTCAACACAAGCACACTTAACAGCTGACTGCATTGAATCGCGGGAAACTTAGTCTTGACCTGTCATTGCATGGGCAATTTCTGGCTACAGTGACGAAGTACCACATGCGCAGTGTAGATTATTGATTAAATCTGATTTTATACAACATAGTTTGCCTGTAACTTTGTGCAAGTGTTTGTGTTATGGTTCCCACTGATACAACTCATGTGACTTTACTGTACCACTTTCTTTGACTAATATAAAGAAATACACAGCATCACTCTTTTACCAGTCGTCTATCTCGTGCTCACCAGACTCCCTATGGAGAGGGGGCTCTTTTTTTTAACAAGGTGGAGCATTCTCTTCTGACGCAGAGCAGCACTCCCACAACCCCAGGTATAACAGGAATGTAGTCATTGAACACTGGATTACTATAATGATAAGAAAGGAAGGGACAATTAGAGGATGATTTTTAAAAAAATATTTATATGAAAATATAATCAAACCTGTCTCTGGGGACCGGGCCAAAATGACCTTTATGCCATATAAAAAGAGTCGCCTCCTGAGTAAGAGTTTGTTGGTGTGTGAACTGGACTGTCCCAGGGTGGTTGTTAACAGGGGTGGTTGCTTGAATAGGTTTGACTGTATATCAAGACATCTATCTCTTGGTCTTATCAGGCATTGAGAATTTAATCATATTTGAATTGTCTGTTTTGTTTTACCTTGCTGGTAACTCAGGTTTTGCTTCTGTTCTTAAAAGGGTCATGACGTTCGTGTGCGGAGGAACCATGACCCCACGTACAGGAGCTCTTGCAGACAGAGGCAACCGGCTGCTGTGGCCAGACCCTTGCCTCCCACCGGAGACAAGCTCCAACCGGACGTCTTGGCCAAACGCGTCAAACAGGATCAGGAAAACACCTTTCCTTGCAAGAAATGTGGCAAGTAAGTGGAGACTCAATTGAGGATTCATTTGGATTTGTGGACAGTATTTTTCTAAACTGGAGGAGGGTGGATACTCGCACTATATTTTGCCACAAAATACAGTCAATCCACTTTTTCAATATATTCTGTGAAACACTTACAGTTGTCTCAACGTCATGATACGGCGCTAGATCAAATGCAAGGATTATCATTATAATTTAATGGATTTTCTAATTAAGAAACCGGAATTGGGAGTCCCGATAATGGAGAATACATGACTCTGGGAATGGCTTGAGATAGAATGATGGATTCCACCCAGGCACTTACTGTTCCGCCAGGTTTAATGTGATCACTTTGGCTGTGAAACTCTCAACCCGCTTTCTCCATTCTACTCTAGGGTTTTCTCCAAGGTGAAGAGTCGCAGTGCTCACATGAAAAGCCACAGTGTTCAAGAGAAGAAGCAGCGGGAGGCGGAGGAGCAGGAAGCCGAGAGCAGTGAACACACAAAGGACCAGGAGGAGTTAGATGACCTTTATTACTACTATGACCCTGCGTAGCAGCAATGGGCTTGCTGTTAGAAACGAACTTGGAAAGCCTGATCTGCCCAGGTCAGAAACGGGTCAGTCACAGCCTGACTTTTGGGTGACGATTCCAATGGAGCAGATCCCCTTAGATTTCTTCTGTTGCCTCTTGATCAGCCCAGTGACCAGTCACATTGCAGCTTGGACAATACAGGCTGCTGTGGGGAGTTTGACTCCACTCATTGTCACATCCACTGCACACGTGGCTGGTGAACAAAAGCACGAAGCCCTCACATTTGACTGGACAGCACTCCTCCTGACCCCAGCCTCTGCCACCGCCTTGGTTTTGTGCAATCCTCCTGACGTTCCTGATGCACATCCTGGAATGTGTAACGTGGGTTCAGCTGCACATTTTGCTGAGTGTAGAATTCTGAGTCATTCATTGGTAATGCTGACTTGGAAAAAATACATGTATCCCACAATACCGCACTATATACATACATATATATATATTCTATTTTTTCATTACACTATTTAGACTGAGTTGAATTTTCACATCTTAAAGCTGCAGTGTCACCATTGAATGTTGTACGTGAGTTTAAAAATGCCTTCATTGACTGTTCGACTGTGGTAAATAATTCTTGCTACTCAAGTTCAACAACTATCTGTAAGTCAGTTGTCTACAGAAGTTCTACCCACATAGATCAGAATGCCTTAAATTCTAGATAACGATAAGTAAGCGAGTTTACACCTCAGCCTATTTAATTGTCTTGACACCTCAGCCACACATGAATTGAATCATAAGGAAACTTGGCAACGGAGCAAATTCAGCTCTGAAACCTGCTGCCATCTGCCTGTGCTGGGACACTGGTTGCTTCCACTGTGTGAGGTTTTATTGAAGGACTGCTGAGGCAAGCAGCCTCTTAGGGTGAAATAATCAGCTTGGATCAGCAGTTTTGCACAGCAGCAATTGGCTGGTCTATAATATCAGAAGTATTGACTTAGCTACAAAGTGCTATAATTGCCCTCAGAGCCCATTTTGGAGGGGAGATGGGCTAAAAAAAATAATCAGCCAGGCTTCCTGCTGCTGTTGACTATCCAGCAACCTATGTTAGCTAGTGTGAAGACATTGAATGAGGACAGGGTGGGGCTCAGCTGTGATCCCCTTCCCTGGCTGTTAAATAACATGACAAAGTTGACCGATTCGACTCGCAAATGAACAACGGAAACCTGGGCGAGGTACTGAAAGATGCCCACGAAACCCTATCCTCAGTGGAAAAAGGAGTCAAAGGAGAAAAAAAACATTTTGTTTAAAGTGAATGCAGGTTGATAGGCAATACACCCCCATCAGCATTTTGCTCACAAAATACAGTCAATCCACTTCAGAATATATTCTGTGAAGCGCTTTGAGAAGTCTGCAGGTTTCCTCTGTGATAAGGCGCTATCTCAAATGCAAGGGTTATTATTATCTTTGCACTCTACCGTTTAGGAAGCAACCTGTGCCTAATACTTTCTGGAATTAGGTAAGCAGGATGCATCCCTCTAGGGAGAGCGTGTGCATTTCATTCGAACAATCTATCTGTGGGATTTCCACATGTAGGTAGGATGCATGGAATTCTCAGTTTGGTTTGGAGACACTCTTAAGCACGGTGATGGGTTTCCACATATATATATCAAGACACCCTGCTGACCAAAAGAAAAGGAAGCAGTTAGAAAGTCTCCACATCTCTAACACAGGACTCATTCAATGTGATCATGCAGCTTTTTGAAGGGAAATTGTGCCATTGTGCACAATCCGTGGCCAGCATCCCAACGGTAGCTAAAGGTACTGTGCTTAACCACAGGCCTTTGTAAATAGGACTATTTATCATTCTGGCTATGCTTATTTGATTTCTTCATAAACCTTTTTTTCAAAAAAAGTTTTATAATGTTGATTAATATTAATGAAATCAGAGAGAAATTTAAACTATGTTTCTTTTGTGAAAGGTTCTATATTTCACGTTTATTCTTTTGCCCCTATTTAAGGTCCTAGAGCTGGAGAATATTTGTCCAGTCTCCCATCATTTGCTGAAGATGTCAGTCGTTTTTCAAATGCAAGATTTGTACATGTGTGTGTTCTTTTTTATATCACTAAAACTTTTGCAAGATAGAAAAAAAGATTGAAAATACCATTATTAAATATGGCTGACAGCAAAATTCATCGAGGAAACTTGCTAATGAACTCTGTCTTTAAGCACTCCGAGACACTGCCCCACATGAATGGTGCTATATAAATTCAACTTGTTCTTGCTGATTCTTATAAGCCAGAACACTAGAAAATGCACTTACCCACTGAAACTTTTCTCTGTGCTTCAGTCTCCACATAAACCTTCTGTGATGACACCTTGCCTGTAATCCATTCCCTCTCCTCCCATCACTTTAAGAATGTTCTGGTTCCTCTTGATCACGATCTAGTACAGCAAGATTTAAGGTAGAGTAAACTCCTGATAATGTGACCCTGGCTTAACATGCCACTACTACTTAAGTCATTATGCTGTCAATATTCCAGCTGCATTTATTTATGTATTGATGTGTCCCTGAGCCCTTTGCCCTTGGAGTGACGAGTTATCAAAAGAACAACAGAAGAGGTTTGGAGAGACATTTTTCTACATGGAAGGTGGTTAGGAAGTGGAATGCCCTACCTGGTTGAGGCAGCGTCCAGGTTAAGTTTTTAAGGGGGAAATTAAGTAAATACCTAAAAATATGGTATGTGGTGAAGACGAGAACTGAATGGGTTGCTATTTCTGAGAGCCAGGTATGAAAGCACAAGGGTCTCTTTCTGTGCTGTGACAGGCACCCCTGTTCTGCTTTCTACTTCACACCCATCATCATCACCACAGGTGAACAGGCCATTGATCACTTGCTTTCTGGGCTTACTTTGGTGAGACAGACACAGGTAGCTCAGAATGATTTATCACCTTTAAAATAATTAAATGGGGCATATGTATAAGATAGCTAGTGATCTAATAACTTTAGGGGGAGCTTCTTCATGCAGAGGACAGCAAAATTGTGGAAATTGTGGTTCAATCAAATAGTATCACTATATTTAAGAGAAAAATTGATGCGTACATGAAAGGAATAGAAAGGAACAGGGAGAGGTAGGGGCTCTTCAGCTTAAATACCAGCACGGATTAGTTGGGCTGAATGGCCTGCTTCTGTGCCCTATCACTGTGCAACTTCAGGAGAGGAAAATTATAAGTTATTTTCTTTAGAGCACCCAGAAAGCACTGTTGATACTCACCATTGCGGTTCACACATGAAAGGCCACTTGGGTGAAGCCTCATATTAGTGGCCATCGACAATAGAAGCAAAGCCCAGTGAAACAGTGTCCGCTGAGAGAAAAAGGGAGAAAATTAATAGGGACAGGGAAAATAAGAACTAAATTTGCCTCTTGGTACAAGTATAATGAGGTAGCCCTTTTGAAACAAACAGATGCAAACACATCATAGTCTCTGTGTAGCAATTCAGTCACTGATTATCAGAAAGAGACCGAATAGGAAGTTACCAACGACCCTTTAATAGTTATTAGAATAAACCATTTTTCACAAGATAGAACACTGTGATGTACAATATCTTCTGATAAATAATTTTGTATAAAAACATTTTAAAAAGCACCTTACAAAAACACTTTTCAAAATCACGACAACAGTGGGGTGCAACACACAGATGGAAGGTTCTGTTCTATCACATGCGTGTTCATTGGAAGAGAAGAGAACAGTCTGGTTGAGCACAACATCACGTCCCTTACAACAAAGCTGCCTCAGAATAAAGCGCAATTAATTTACAATTACAAATAAGTTAAAAAAAAACTTCAAGTACTGTACTAGAAAATAACAAAAAAATCTCACTTTGACTGTTTTAATAAGTTAACCATTTCTCATATGAAAGGAACAGTTTTTAAAAAAAATTCTTATAGTTTAACAAACAGTTGTGTTGCCCATTTTAAATGGTTTAAGAGAACAAAATGAGTCTTGGAATATTTGTGAACAATATCAAAGGCTTGGAGACCAGTTTAATGCCATAACCTAGTCCTTGTGCAATTGCCTTAAAACGCTAAGTGAAAATGGTTTTGAAAGGTCAAAAAGCCTAGCAACTGTGATTTGATACCAGTTACTGTCCTGTAAAAAGGATGTTATAGAAAGATAGAAAGTGCAATGGGGAGAGGAGGGAAGCGGGAGTGGGTGGGGGGAAAGGGCACACGCATGTGAGGAGGTCTTTAAGAAGTTAGCTTATGTAACGTGACTGTTCATTTCCAGATTGGCTTTAAGCCTCTTCGTCCTCTTCTTGTTTGATCACAGTGTTCCCTAAAATTGAAAGAAAAACATACATTTATGAGTGCAATTTAATACAGAAGAAATGCTTAACGAGAGCAACACTGAGGAAGAAGAGAGAGGAATGTTTTGAATACAGGGAGAGTGGTAGCAAGGTGAAGTACTTTTAAAGTGTGTTCCAAAAGAACAGAAGTGTGTGGCAGGTGATAGCTTTGCTTTTGATGGTAGAGCAGAAGCAACAGGGCAACGTGTAAAGGTTTTAGCACTGGTGAGTGTCAGTGGGCAGTGTTCCAGAGATGGAAGAGGGCAACAACAACCACCACAAATTACATTTGTATGCGCCTTTCATGTCGGGAGGATGTCCTAGCGTTAGTAAAGAGATCAGATGTGGAATTCTCAGCTTGGGGTAGATGGGAATACCCATGGTACACTGGCCCAAGCTCAGCCTGAACGAGTAGTTAGGAAATTAAGCACTCCAGGTCTCTACCTGGCATGAAGGGCCTATATAAATGCAAATTGTTGTTGGAGTCAGAGACATGGAGATGCTAGCCAAAGTGGCTACAAGCTGGCTACAGACCTGTCAACATTGAGCCATCAGTTGCAATTCTCCATTTTTATAACAGGAGCAACAGGCAGATACAACATACCGTCCAGCTTCTTGAGTTTGGGGAGCCTCTTGGTTGCCTCGTCTATCCAAGTCCCATCAGATGAATGTTTCTCTTCCAGAGGGTTTCCTACAAAGACCAGGTCAGTCAAGACAGGCAAATCACCCAGCTTGCTGAACTCCGCTTTGGGTCAAGAAAAAAAATACAATCAAAGTGAGAAAAGTAGGCGAAACGATGAGATTGTTGAATGCACGAGCCATTCAAAAAATCTAATCACTGGGCTATTCAGTATCAACAACAACAACTTGGATTTATATAGTGCCCTCCATGCCAGACAGTGTCTCAGAGTGCTTCACAGTAAAGATCCGAGCCAGGGGGAGTGGGAGGAAGGTGACCAAAGGTGCGGTCGGAAAGAAAGGTCTTTAGCAGAGACCTGAAAATGGGAAGGGCGGGAGCGAGACAAAGGGAGTGAGGAAGGCAGTTCCAGAGCCTCGAGGCATAGTGGCTGAAGCCACGGCCGCCGAGGGTGGAACGGAGGACTCGGGGGACAAGGAGGAGGCCAGACCCGGAGGAATGAAGGCAACGTGCTGTTTTGAGGAGGGAGGACGTCAGAGAGGTAGGGAGGTGCAGAGGAGTGCAGGGACTTGAATACGAGGGTGAGGATCTTGAAGTCGATCCTCTTTGGGATAGGCAGCCAGTGCAGTCTGGCAAGGACTGGGGTGATCAGGGAATGGAGTTTCATGCGGGTGAGAATGCGGGCAGCAGAGTTCTGCATGAGTTGGATTTTATGGATGGTAGTGGATGGGAGACCAGTGAGGAGGGCGTTGGAGTAGTCCAACCGAGAGGTGACAAAGGTATCATTTAATCCTCATATAGGGATTGCTACACAATGCCACAATATTTTCTAAATGGCAATGACTACGGTACTGTCTCAATGCAAAATGCACATCTGAATGTACAAAATGACAAATTGAGAATGTGTAGACTATAAAGACCATAAATCCTTTAGGCTTTGGACCAAATCCAGAGGTTTTTAAGGGTCTAACTGGTGAGGTTTAGGTCTCTGGCTACGGGAATGGTACCTGGAAATGCTTGGTGATAGTCCTGGACAGAAGTGGTCGAATTCTAACACCAAACACTGGTCATTACTCACTTAATGTATGACATAAATATGTACATAGATGTAGTTGGAAAGGAATGAAGATAGCCTCAGGGGCCTATCGATTCTGCACTTGGAGACATCCACCCACAGCTAACCCCCTTACCCACTCACCCACCTCACACACCACCCCTCACACACACACACACTCCACTTGCCTCACAATATACATCTATACCTGTCCTGGCGCTGTCCATTCCCGGGGAAGGTGAACAAACAGAGACAAGCAAAATCCAAGAACAATTTTGGGGGGGGGGGAGAGACATTACCCGGAAATTGCCAAGAACAGTGAAGCAAGTCACCACCAATACAAGATAACTGCTAACTAGTCCACAACGGTTGACCTTTTTTCTCTCCTGAATTCAATTTTGTGCTAAACAATGTGAGTTTTAGTCAACATTGGGGAATTGTAACACAATCTAGTAGTAATTGACCGTGTAATTTGGAGGCGAATAGAAATTATTTGCCATGAATATAAAGTCTCCTGGAACTGTTACAACACAGCAATGTGCAGAATAAAGCTCCCACTAATCATCCCAGTTTCAGAGAAGCATTCCATCAACTGTATCCAAGTACATTTCATTTCCCTCACTATTCATTCTTATTGGCTGTGAAATTGCAAATTTATTTTCAATTTCTGCTGAATTAGTCTTTGGTTTGTGGTCTAAGCTTGCGATTACTTGGAATAGAGTTGGCCGGCCCACCCCGACATTGGTCTCTTACAGCCACTGAATGTGGAATTTGGATGCAGACCTAACAGTGAAGGAACAGTACAGTTGTCAGTCACTCCATATGTTATCTTGAATTCTTAAGACTCTGTATTAAATATCAGTTTGGCTGCCACCAAGGTGCAGATGTTGCCTGGCACACCCGATGAGTTTCAAATTTCTGAAATAGTAGTCTTGTTCCTGGAGCTTACTTTATTTCTTTCAAGCAGGTAAACCTCAAATAAGCGCATGTCATCTTAAGACTGTATTAAATATCAGTTTGGTCTCCACCCTTCAGGTAGACGTTGCCTGGTGATAGTATGGATTAGGTGCATTTTTGCAGTTGTGTTAGGGACAGGGGAGGAGGAAACACATCAGCCAACAATCTCACTTTTTATCTTTAGCAAATCTTCCTGGAAGGAGAATGGGTTCGGTCATCCCAAGGAAGGAAGGGATTGGATCAGGCTTGGATGCTATGGTTGTCATCCACTTGCAAAGCCTGCTATAATATATCCGGCAGATAGCTGAAATGCCTTGATATTTTTCCTTTTAAATTAAGTGGGCTTTTCAGAATTCAGTGATTGATGCTTAAGAGCGACAATCACAGATAATCCTTGCACAAAAAGGAGTGGGTGGCGCTGAATGAGTATTTCAAATAAAAATCTCCATCTGACAGGTTAATGATAACATGCGAATTCTGCAACCTTTGTGTCTTGTGAATAGGTCCCCCTGGAGGTCTTTAACTCAAACGTATGTCACAGTTGTCAACAAAATCACTGCCTCCAGGAAAAATTGATTGAAATCCCCTATATTTTTCAACAGAAAGACAAATATTCACTGGATTTGATGCAGAAGATCATTCTTCTTCTGCAGCCAAGCTGTCAGGAAGTAACTACTGATGTAAATCAACATCCATTTTCCTTGCTTATACCTTTCATTTAGGATTTTCCTCTGAGACGCACATTCAATTTCTGACAAGGGTTAGGTCACATGCAGGGAGATTTAAGCACTGTGCAGGCTGGGGAAAAGCTGGGGGGGTGGTCAGAGCACACTTGCAGTCCAGAGTCGTAATTCAGCAGCAAACCACGGGTATAAGCAAAACAGGTGTTTTTTTCTTTAAGTGCATCAATTTCCCTCCTGAAGGTATTTGACTGTTTTCCCCTCTAATACCTTGCCCAAGTAGCCATTATGAGCAGCAGACTGGCGAGCATCACAGCCAAGCTCAACACTGGCCTCCCTCCTCATCAGTGCCAGATGCACACGCACACTCCAGCGTGACTCGCTCACAGGAACATTGGTTGATTTTCCACTCCTGAACCCGGAGTACTTAAGCTAGTGCAGTAGTGACCAGCTTTTTTGGTCAGCCAACAAAATACATTTTCTTGATATTCAATCAAGAAAATGTATTTTCTTGGCCGACCAAAAAGGCTAGCCATCACTGTTAAAAAAGCATATGGGATACTAGGCTTTATAAATAAGGGCATAGAATACAAAAGTCAGAAAGTTATGATGAACCATTATAAACCGCTGGTTAGGCCTCAGCTAGAGTACGGTGTTCAGTTTTGGGCACCACACTTTAGGAAGGATGACAAGGCATTGGATAGGGTGCAAAGGAGATTTACCAGGATGGTACCAGGAACGAGGGACTTCAGCTATCAGGAGAGGCTAGAGAAGCTAGGATTATTCTCCTTGGAGAACAGAAGATTAAGAGGCGACTTAATAGAAGTTTCCAAAATGATAAGGGGTTTCGACAGGGTGAACAAGGAGAAACTATTTCCTCTGGCAGGTGGGTCGGTAACCCGAGGACACCGATTTAAAATAGTTGTTAAAAGGAACAGAGGGGAGGCGAGGAGAAATTTTTTCACACAGCGAGTTATTCGGATCTGAAATGTATTGCCTGAAAGGGTGGTGGAAACCAATTCGCTAACAACTTTTAAGAGAGAAGTAGATAATTATTTGGGGAGAATAAATTTGCAGGACTATGGGGAGAGAGCGGGATTGATTTGGACAGCTCTTTTAAAAGAGCTGACACAAGAAACAATGGCCGAATGACCTCCTTCTGTGTTGCATAATTCTATGATTCTATGGTATACCAAATACAAAGATTATTATTATATATTATTATCAAAGAATCATTGAAAAGGGAACTGGATAAGCACCTGAGAAGTACAAGCATTGAAGAGTATGATGGAATTAGCTAAAGCTGGCTTTTTAAAAAAGTGCAGTTTATAAAAACAACAGTGGCACAGACACAATAACCTGAATGGCTGCCTTGCGTGCAGAAAATACGTAGGTTTCTGTCAGTGACTGCAGTGTGTTCTCATACGGCCACTCAAAAGACAGTTTCCTGTCCTATCGCGCCCCCTAGAGGCATAAACACCCAACCAAAACATGTTTTCATTGGAAAGATTGGACCACTTTGACCCAATTTTCATTCCCATCCTCAAAATCCTGCAAATTCGCAGTAGCCTAATTCTCCGTCAACTCTCTTCTCATCTGTTCAATGACCAAAGCTGCCTTTCCATCCACAAAGGAAGCAACCCTTCAGAACGCAGTAACAATTTCTTTCAAGTCTCTGCCTCAACCTCTCACTCTAGTTTTTGTGTCACTTACACAAGCTAAGAATGAAGGCATTGGCAATTATGATTCTGAGGTCTCTCTCCATTAGTGCCTTCAACCCCTCAGATGCCTTATGCGTGAATACATAATGTATATGTGATGCAGTACCTCATGCTGAAATGTCTCAAAACACTTCACATAATGACTTACAAGAATGTCAACTATTATTACCCACTAAGTACTACAGTTAGTATAGCTGACCAACAATCCCCCAGATAAAACTGGTCATTCATTTCCTAGCTGTTTGTGAGACATTACAGTGTGCAAATTGGCTTCTGCTTTCACTTACAAAATACAGTCATGACATTTTGCAGTAAATTCTGTGAAATGCTTTCAGATGCACTGACAAAATGATGAGGCTGTATATTAAATGCAAGGATTAGAATTACACTGCAGTAATTAAATTATTCACCTACCCCAATCTTTCACAAGGTTATTAGCCATGTACAATACAAGCAGTTTCTTCATTGCATGTACACCTTTCAGCTTTTCAATCAGGTTATAAGAGATCCATAACTCTTCCAGTGTTTCACCTACAGTTTCCTGTAGAAGGAAAATAAAATTGTTTCTTACAGCTAGATCTGTAAAGATATTCCGACTTTGAGAGTATCAATGAAGTGATAAGGCGCTATGTCAAATGCAAGGATTATTATTATTAAGTAAAACAACGACACCAAATATTCCCCGTCCTCCAACTCAACTGCCAGGGAGTAATGCATGGCAACAAGAAAGCTCATGGATCAGTTGAACAATCCAGTATTGAACACTGATCTTTCAGCATGAGGTACTGCATCACATATACATTATGTATTCACGCATAAGGCATCTGAGGGGTTGAAGGCACTAATGGAGAGAGACCTCAGAATCATAATTGCCAATGCCTTCATTCTTAGCTTGTGTAAGTGACACAAAAACTAGAGTGAGAGGTTGAGGCAGAGACTTGAAAGAAATTGTAGCAGCTACAATTAACCCTAAACGAAGTGGAGTGGAAAGGGAAATAATCAGGCTACTGCTCCTGATTGTTACCAGTGGCTCAGGATAGGATAGATTGCACTGCAAGGATCTGTATTCGAGCAAAAGTCAGCACCTTCAGGGAAGGGGGTAGAAATAGAAAGAGGGGAGGAGAATAGCAGCACTAAACACAGTTTTCAACAACAGGATTAGAACCAGAAATTAAAAGGTATATTTACGTACCAGACCATTCAAATTCTTTATGTTGTTTCTTCCCAGTGATAGAATTTTTAGCTTCTCTGCAAAGCACAAAACAAAGATTTGTTCAGGATTTAGCCTCTTGTTACACATTTATAATCACTCGATTTAAAAAAAAAACTGCAGTGTAGTACAAGGTTGCCCAGCTGTTGGCTTGCAGGGTGAGGATATATACCAAGTCTATTTAATGATGTCAATAATGGCTCATAATGTAAATAATAGCACAAATTTACTTTTGCTTGTCACCTCTAGTTGGAGTAAGTTGAACTTCTCGGAACTTTTAAAAAGACATAGTATTCATTTTATGAAAATCAAAAGCTCTGTGCAGACCCACAGGGATTTGAACCAAAACCCATTTGTCTCAAATACAGTGCTCAATTAAATAAATTATCTGAGAAGTTACATTACCATTTAACCCAACTCAATCAGAGGAAGGTTCTCTTGAATTTTAATATGAGCACTAAAAGGGTCACGCATTATTTTCTTTGCTTTCAAACACAGTAAGTCTTCATATTCCAACAACACTTTAAAGGTGTATTTTTTTTAAAAAATGGAGATATCTTGAGCCAAGCAAAGCGCAGCTCTCTTTGCAATCTTTTGATAAAGTAGAGAATTAAATGTTACTTCCAGCAAGGAAAGGATCATAAGACAAAACATACTTAGCCCATTCAGATTAGCTATCTTTTCAATGCAGTTAGTCGAGAGAGAGAGTTTTCTGGAAAACAAGAGAAAGCATGTTTCAACACACAATATATTTTTGTACAAATTGATTTTTAATCAGTTCAAAGCAGGGAAACCATTAACAGGAAAACAATCTTATAACATTTTTTAAAAAATATGTCTCGCTCTTCTAATTCAGGCATGCTCCACCATTAGTGGTGATCTTTCAGCCACTTTGGCCCCTCTTCAGAAATCTCTCTGAATACCCACTGCCTCACCTTGGCTAAAGGGGCAATGAGCACATTCCATGGGTGAAGATAGGTTGTTTTGGTCATTACAGATTTTGTTGTTGTTTTGGTCAAGCATCAGATATACAATGTAAGAGAGCCAATAGTCGACCAAAACACTAAGGCTGTGTACTGGCTCTGTAAAATGGATTAAGCAGCCTAAGGAGGTTGATGGGTTAGAGCTGGAGATAAGAAGACATTGACAGGTAGCACCCAAGCAGGATGCCTTTGGTTTTCTTTACAAAGTCTTGTGTTTTGTTCATGCATAAAGAAAGGCCACTTGAGAGAAGTACTACCTATCTGTGTTTCTGAATACCAGCACAACTGAGCACCTTCAGACCTGAGAGAAAAACTGGGACAAAAAAGGTGAGCGAGCAATATCGTGATTTTACAATACTGCATTGTTACATTCATAATCAGACTTTTTTTTACTATTTACCACAATGAAACAACTCAGCACTCAGCAAGGCTTACTCGCAATTGGTTAGCATGGAGAGAGATGCATCCATCTTTTCAATAGGGGGGATCTGGCCGTACAATTTCACCTCAGTCGCTTCATTTGCCTTCTGACCCGTTCTTTCCTCCTGAAAATAATGAACAGTGCACCAATGTCAGTTCCCTTTTTTATGGCCTTTATACCACTGACACTATGTTTATGATAAGAGGAATAAGTATCTGAGATATCAATTTGAAACAACATAAAATAACAGAGGGCCAGAAGGACAAACAGCAGGTAACTGGAGCTCAAAATGCCAATGGCAGATGGAATTCCTCATGTGGTCAATTTAGAACAGCAACCGGTCTGTCATTGAGAGGCTGGCCAGAGATACTTCACACCACAGTGAAAGAGGGAAACTCCTGGGAAAATCATCTTGACTTCATCATTGATACCTCTTAGCAATTAGGACATTATTAAGACATTCTATAATAATTCTTATAACAACAATCCTTGCATTCAGGAAGACGTCTCAAAGCACTTCACAAGACATACTGTAAAGTGTATTTGTGACTGTGTATTTTGTAGGTGAATGCAGCAGCTAGTTTTCCCACAGACAGCCAGGAAGTAAATGTCCAATTTTATTTAGGAGGACTGTTGGCCAGGATATCAGGAGATATTCCCTTTTCCTTTTCGAACAGTGCCTTGGGATCTTTATTGTTTCCCTGAACAGCCAGATGGGACCTCGGTTTAACACCTCATTCTAAGGATGGCCCCTCCAACTATGCAGCATTGCATTCAACTATCATAGCCTACAAGTTCAAAATCCTTCATGAGGCTTCTGACACAGAGCAGAGCGTGCTCAGCCAGGCTAGATGCCTCCTTGCCTCACTCGTTGGGCATGGGGAAAGATTGTTTCTGGGACCACTGAATTTACTTACTCTTGTGTTACAAGCTCAAATCCCTGCTCAGCCAACCAACAATCTATTACACTACAATCTTTTTCCCCCCACCAAAACATATTCAATGATACACACGTCACTGTGTAATTGCATTTGCTATAAAAACATCCGTATTGATTATGTATACTCGTACAAAATGCCATTTCCTATTGAGCTAAACGTCTGTAGATTTTATTCTCCGTGAAACATCCTGTTTCCCATACTGTATGCAGATCAAGGTCATCAGTAAGCATTAGGAATAGAGAGGTCCTAGAATGAGTATCGAGGGAGTTGCTCTGCCTGTCACATCTGCCTGATCACTGATCGCACTCCTCCCATGCCTGTTATTTAACCCATTCACAACGTAATTTACAACTTCCTTCTTGGCTCACAAGCTTTTACTCAAGCCACAAGTTATTTATGAAAGAACCTAACAAGTGACGCCTTATCATTCAGAACGGCAATCCTGAGGATGTAAATTTCACCAAATAAGTAAGTACCTAAATGCTCAGAAAAAATTCTCAATCCTGATTAAGTGCCAGATGGGCAGCACAAAGGGATAAATCAGTGTCAATCTGTACCAAAGAATTAAAAAAAACTTCCTCTTCCCACTTGAATTCCATACACTCTTTCTTAGTTTTTCAGGAATTTGACAGTATCAAATCACAGCAAATTTAGTACTGATCCATCCTTACTGTGTACTGAATAGACTCTTCTTATTGGCTTCCCACTACACACTCTACAAGTTTCAATGCATCCAAAACTCTGCAGCCAGAGTTACTCTCCTGCATAAGGCTCTGTGCCCCCATTACCTCATTCCCACCAAACTCCAATAACACTCCTTTCATTTGATATATAGATCCTACAATGTTGAAATGTCACAACAAGTTTTTCAGTAATTATTGTCAGGGGCATTAACTGTGCAATCAAACACGGCAGCCAATTTATACATAGGCCCATCTATAGCCTGGACGCAAATGCCAATTTACTTTTGGAGGACTGTTGGTCAATTATAATGGGTTCCTTAAAGCCCACCTGAACAGACAAACAGGATGGGATTTTGACAATAAGGAGCTTCCCCCAACACTGCATTGGAGTGTCAGCCTATTCTGTGAGCTCAACTTCTCTGACTCTGTAACTCAGCTGAACAAATTTAACAGCCTTAGCCGCTGTCTTTAAGTCTATTTCATATAATATATGCACAACATTTCTATCAAATGAAAGTTGTTATGCTGCCTCAGCAGTCAAACATATCTCCTCCCCCAACAACAACAGTGGTATTAATCACCAAGATTACCTGACATGTGCAATCTTAAGAGAAGCATCTCCTGCACAGCAACATTTACATTAATATAACATAATAATCATATAATTATATAACATAATTCATGCAAAGGAAGACTTCAAAGCACCTGGTAAACATAATGCTTTAGTATAACCAGCAGGGAAACCAGATAAACATTGATCAAACAAACAGTCAATGGGATGTGTTCTTCAGAAGCTTTTTGAAGGCAAAGGAGATGGGTAAGCACAGTTACTTATATGTGCATAACAGTTAGCCTGCTCGCCTCCCAAGCGAGAGGACCCAGGTTCGATTCCCGGGTGGGGCAAAACCTTCAGCAAGTTTCCTTACTCCACACGCCTCTGTTTACCTCGTAGTAAGTAGGAACCCGGTTGTTAAGTCAATTAGAGAATTGCTTTCTGGGGGAAATAATCCCTCAAAAAAACACACACAACTGTCTGTGGGACACTGCTGTGTGCAATTGGCTGCCGCGATTCACCCACAAAATAGGCAGTCAATCCACTTTACAATATATTCTGTGAAGCGCTTTGAGACGTCTCAATATATCGCGATATCAAATGCAAAGCTTATTATTGTTGTCTCTGTGGAGTGCTTGGAGATGTTCATTCTTCAGGAAAGCTGCTATATAAGTACGGATTGAGTGTGCTTCCACAGGGACAGTACGGTTGTTCAGCCCGCGCGCTCAAAAACAAATTGCGTCACTCAATTCCACGACTGTTTGTGGGACATCTCTGCGCGCAGTTGGCTGCCTGCTGCGTTTCGCCCACAAAACACACAGTCAATTTACTTTACTGTATTGTTTTTGAGACGTCTCAACGATGTGATAAGGTTCGATATCAAATGGAAGGATTATTATTATTATTATTTGCAAAGCAAAGAAAAATTGCAGACAAACGGGAAGAGCTGGGGTGGGGGGGGCTGGGGGGGGGGCCTGGAGGCTGGGGGGTGGGGCCTGGAGGCTGGGGGAGGGGGGGCTGCGGGCTGGAGGCCTGGGGGTGGGGGGGTGTGCGGGCTGGGAGGCTGGGGGGGGGAGGCTGGGGGGGGGGGGCTGGAGGGAGGCTGGGGGGGGGGGGGGGCTGGGAGGCTGGGGGGGCGGGGGTGGGGGGGCTGGAGGCTGGGGGGGGGTGGGGGGGGGCTGGGGCTGGGGGGTGGGGGGGCTGGAGGCTGGGGGGGGGGTTGGCGGGGGCGGCTGGAGGCTGAGGGAGGCTGGGGGGGGAGGCTGGGAGGGGGCTGGAGGCTGAGGCCGGGCTCTCTCTCACTCACCCACTTGATCAGGGCCTCTTTGATGGTGGTGGCTTTGGCCTAAAGGAGAAGCAAAAACAGCCAAGTTACCCGGAGGCAGAGCAGAGAGAGGAGAGGGAAGAGAAAAGTACAAGCGCTCAGGGCCGGAGACATCCTCCCACTCCCTCCCTCACCATCTCCTCGCCGCCGCCGCCGCCGTGTTGTGGTTGCTAGGCACACCGCCAGCCCTGCGCATGCGCACCTTCCGTCGCAGCGTGTCAAAGGAACACCGAACCACTTTGCACCGTCTTAAAGGGGCACCGCCTCGCCACACCGTCTTAAAGGGGCACCGCCTCGCCACACCGTCTTAAAGGGGCACCGCCTCGCCACACCGTCTTAAAGGGGCACCGCCTCGCCACACCGTCTTAAAGGGGCACCGCCTCGCCACACCGTCTTAAAGGGGCACCGCCGCGCCACACCGTCGTAAAGGGGCACTATCTTACCACACCATCTTAAAGGGGCACTATCATCTACAACAGCAAAAAAAATTACATTTGTATAGCGCCTTTCACAGCGGGAGGACGTCCCAAGGCGTTGGACAGGTAGAGTTTCGGACCCGAGCTGGGGGTTGGGGTTGGGAAGTGTGGCGTGCAGAAGAGGGGGTAGCAGGGAGATCGAAAGCACGGTCAAAGAGGAAGATCTTGAAGGAGGCAAGGGAGGGGGCGAGGCAGAGGGCCTGCAGGATGGAGTTCCAGAGGGTGGGGGCAGAGTGGCAGAAGGCCTGTTCGCCAATAGTGGGGTGAGCGAGGTGGGGGACATGAAACAGGTTGGAGCCCGCAGAGCAAGATCGTAGGGGGTTAGGAGGTTGCAGAGACGGGGGGAGCAAGACCATGGAGGGCTTTGAAGGTGAGGACCAGGATCTTGAACTGTATCCTCTGTGTGTTGGGAAGTCAGTGGAGTTGGGCGAAGATGGGGGTGATAGGATCACAGAGCCTAGTGCGGGAGAGAACACGGGCTGCAGAGTTCTGGATGATCTGCAGCCTATGGAGGGAGGAGTTGGGGAGGCCGACAAGCAGGGAGTTTGCTTCGTCAAGCCTCGATATAATGAAAGCATGTATGAGGGCGGCCAGCGGTGTGTGACGTGGCGGAAGCGGGTGATGTTGCGGAGGTGGGGGAAGGCAGAGAGGGTCATGGCGCAGATGTGGGGTAGAAAGGATAGTTGAGGGTCAAACAAGACCCCAAGGTTCCAGACTGGCTTAGTAAGGTGGAGTGTGTAACCATGGATGGCGATGTTGTCAGTATCTGAGGTGAGGAGGCGCTGATGGGAGCCAATCAGGAGAGCCTCGGTCTTGTTGATGTTCAACTGAAGAAAGTTAGCTCTCATCCAGGACTTGATGTCTGACAGAAATTCTGGCAGCACAGCAGTGGTCCTGGAGTCAAGGGTGGAGGCAGAGAGATACAGTTGGGTGTCAACCGCAACCATGTGGAAGTCGACCCCATGTCTGTAGATGATGTCACCAAGAGGGAGTATATAGATATTGAAGAGGAGGGGACCAAGGGCAGAGCCCTGAGGAACGCCGCACGAGTGCTAGAGGAGAAACCATTTGTGGAGATGAAGTGGAGATCTAACCACACTGCCTTAAAGGGGCACTATAACCACACTGTCTTAAATGGGCACTATCTAGTCACAGCATCCTAAAGGGAAACTATCCATGAATAATAATAATAATCCTTGCATTTGATATAGTGCCTTATCACGTCTTCGAGACGTCTCAAAGTGCTTCACAGAATATACTGGATATTTTGTGGGCAAAACACAGTGGCCAATTGAACGCAGTAGTGTCCCACAAACAGTCTTGGATTGAGTAACTAATCTATTTATTTATTTATTTATTTTTTGACAGGATTATTACCCCGGAAAAGCAATCCGCCAAACGACTAATAACTGGGTTCCTACTTATTTCTAGGTAAACAGAGGCAAGTGGAGTAATGAAACTTGCTCAACATTTCGCCTACCCAGGTCCTCTCGCTTGTGAGGTGAGTGCTCTAATCGATAAGCTGCAGGACTCCATAAAATTAGAGAAGGGAGTTTCTCCCAGTGTCCTGGCTATCAACCCTCCCAATAAAGTTAGTCATTCACTTCACGCCTGTTTTTGCACAGCATCTTCAAGGGATACATCTATTTGCCCCTTTAAAATGCTGTGTGAATACAGTAAATCATGTGAAGCAATTTGAGATATTTTGATGACCCCATAAAGTGCTACATTCAATGTAAGGGTTATTATAATAAAGTCTGCCTTTGAAATAGTGCCTTATCATGTCGTTAAGACGTCTGAAAGTGCTTCAAGCAGCCGATTTGCATACAACAATGTCGCAGGAACAGCTGTGGAATGAGTGACCAATTGTATTTATATCTATTTATTATATCTATGTACCAAATTAGTTTTAATATTGAATATACAATAGATGTAGAGACATTTGCACAATAAAGGTCACACGCACACTATTCACATTATATATTGTGGAATCCTGTACCTCAGTGGTTAGAGCACTCATCTCGCAAGCGTGAGACCTGGTTTGATTCCTGGAAGGGCGAAATGTTGGGCAAGTTTCCTTACTCCACATGCTTCTGTTTACCTAGCAGTAAGTAGGAACCCGGGTGTTAGTCAACTGGCAAATAACTTTTTCGGGGATATTAATTCCTTATGAAATAATAATAATTTGGTCACTCAATCCACGACTGTTTATGGGACAGTGCTGTGTGCAATTGGTTGCCGTATTTTGCCCAAAAATATACAATCAATTTACTTTACAATATATTCTGTGGAAGGTCTTTGAGACGTCTTTCTCGGGACAGGCAATGCTGCTAAAGAGGTAGGATTTTAGGTGAAATTTAAAGGCAGGCACAGAGAGGGCGAGACAGAGGGTTGGTGGGGGGAGTTCCATATATTTGTATGCTCAGTGAAAAAGTTTTACTGTTTTAATGCAGTTGATGTAACAGTCTAAATGTGACTATCAGCTCAAGTTCATGGTTTACGGGTTAATATTAGACACCCATGAAAAGTCTTTTGATGAAAAGTCTTTTGATGGGTGTCTAATGACTTTTGAGGAATCAAAAGTCTAGCTTCAGATCTTGACTATTTCTCAAACCCTCAATGTTTAACACTGGCCCACTCGTTATTTACCAGAGTGACCACTGGGTGGAGCTCTTGGCTACCAGTGAAACCCTGAGACAGTGAACAGTTGGAGCTATATTTGGCTTCAACCTCCCAGGAGAGAAAAATCAGCCAAACTTCCTGCTCTTATTGCAGCAGGACGTGGGTGTGGATATCAGCTGAGGGCAGGATTGTGCTTGGCTTTTTCAATAAAAAATAATGTTTTAAAGCAGCTTTTCTGTCTGTGATCGAATTGTCCACGTTGGTATCTAACTTACGCGAGGTTTCCTTGTAGCTGAACTGGTTCCCTGGTGACATGTTTGACAATGGAATGTCTTTAGTCCAGTTCCTGAGCCAGCACAGCACCGCACAGCACAGCCCGGCTCATCGGCAGGACTTGAAAGGGCAGATCAGTCACTGGGGGCAGGGATCATCCCACTCAGCTCCTGTTAACCCTGCAAGCCAAAGCCTAACGGGTAGGGTGGTCCTAGCTGAACAAGCAGTGGGAAAGCTTGCGACACAGTGATAGCAATGGCAAGCCATGTGGTTTTAGCTGGTTAGACCCCAGCAGTACTCCAATGCACACTCTGGGGTCCCCAAGCCTTGGCTCTTGACAACCTGTGCCTAATACTTTCTGGAATTAGGTAAGCAGGATATATCCCTCCAGGGAGAGAGTGCACATTCCATTTCAACAATCTATCTCTGGGATTTCCATGTGTAGGTGGGATGCCTGGAGTTCTCAGTTTGGTTTGGACACTCTTTAAGTATTGTGATGGGTTACCGCAAAAACACAATCTCTCTTATTAGCCACAATAAGAGTGGGCTGGTAATAGCCTGAAAGTAGAGAATGGTGGATACTGGAGGTGAAAGGAAGGAGGTTAAAGTGGGTGTTAAAAGAAATTCTCACAAAAGATCAGAGAGTAAATAATTCCAACCACATGTATCTGAGTCATGAATACCATAGCATCATCTTAAAACTCGAGCTAGGTTGGTTAAATGTGAAATCCAGATAGATTTCTTCATGGAAAGGAGGGTTGAGTGAGATTGTGGATCACACGTCTCCGGAAGACTGGAGATGTGGAATGGACTGAGATATTTAAGACTGAGTTACAGTGGAATGCTGCTTATCTGCAGATCAGGCAACTGCATGTTCCCACTAACGGGCGAAACGTTAGGTTTCCTTACTCCACACACTTCTGTTTACCTAGCAGTAAATTGGAACCCAATTATTAGTTGTTTGGCAGATCGCTTTTGTAAGTCATAAACCCCTTTTTTAAAAAAAATCACTCAAGGACCTCTAAATTATTTGTGGGACACTGCTGTGGGCAATTGGCTGCCACATTTGCCCCACACAAATACACAGTTAATCCACTTTACAGCATATATTTATAAAAATATATATATTTGTATGTGTGTGTAACTGTCACTAGTTTGATATGGAGACTCTTTAAGCACAGTGATGGTTTTCAATGTATCAGACACTCAACACTGACGAAAACAAGCACTAACTCAGCACAGACGGGATTTGAACCTGCAATCTCTGGTTCACGTGGCTCAGATTTCTGTGAGGATTACCAATTGACCCATTAGGGAGTCTTACATTAATTGCTTTGGAGCTTTTATATCCTTGCTGTTGTAACCCAGGGCTGAACTGCGTGAAGACATCTGGAATCAATTTAATATCATTGTAATGACTGGAATTGGCTCAATAACTATGAGTGAAAAGCGGTGACTGGGAACACTTTATGCACATTGATTTGCCTTTCGTGCTGAGCCGTTGCTGGCAGTAAGGGTCCTAACGTGGGGCTTAAGGTTGGGTCTTCCCATACATTGCACTTATTCATTGCATTGGGACGATTCAGGATCACCTTGGAAGTCATTTGCAAAATCTGCATTCTCTACTCTGAATCAGGAAGGTTGTGGGTTCAAGCCCTATGTGAGGACCCCTATCTCCTAGTCTGGACTGATAGCCTTGGGAACCAGTGCCTGGTTAGGAGTGCTTTGCTTCACTATAAAAATGCTACTAGAATGGAGAGAGTGGGGGAGATTGCACTCATGAGGAGCATAAAAGAAACAAAGATCATTACATTTAGCTGATCGCGAGACTATTTCAGTTAAAGCCTGAGATTTTGGCCTGCTCACTTATATAAATGTTGGCAGATATATTACATCACTGCTTTCCTCTGCACTCAATAACTCCAATTTGGTACCCCCACTGCTTTCTGAACAAGGATATTTTCCA